GCTATTACTATTTTTCCAAGTTCTCCATTCACTGCCTAGCCATATATTTAAATATAGCAGCGGCTTCAACTCTTATGATAAGTGATTTAAACAACGCTCTATCCTTAGGTTACAGAATACTCTTTACAGTATGTGTTTGAAGATTTTAGAATATATGTGGCTGTTCCAACCTCCACTGTCCTGATGATATTATGTGTGAAGAAAATTTGAAGAAATCTGTTTGCCTAAGACTTCTTTCATTTAATGGCTCCTGGAATTTCTGGATTTCAAAAAAAAACTGAATGGGAAGGCATAAAATTCTGTCTTTTTAGATTTTGACACTGGACAAGTTGGCACTAGGATGTGAGCCTCCTTTTGGCCTCCAATTCTGGAAATCCAGATATAACTCTGCCTGAAAAGATATCAAATCCCAATATTCCTATGAATAGTGTTATGTCCTGATGTGTTTATAGTACTGACTCAGTATCTCAACCTCTGGTGACCTCAGCCAGTGAGGAAATTTCCTCAAGGACATACAACCTCAATGAAATCCCATGTTCTTATTTTCACAGCATTTAGAGTCCTTCATTTCCCCATTCATGGACCCAAGGGCTTATAAGAGGAGTGCAATATTGCATAGTTTTCTAGACCAGGGATATAGGCTGTTAATACATAAATTTAAAGTGCAAGGAAAAGAATCATTCAGGTGAAGACATGTCTGTTGTTCATAGATGAAGTCTCCAAAATATCTGTTTCTAAGGTGAAATTATTAAAAAACAGACATAATTAATTCCTGGGAGGGCAAAGCCTTGGATACAAAGATAGATCCTTAACATTCTCAGTATCTTCTCTAAACACTATGATTCAAGAAGAAGTTGTTTTCTTATTTTAAAAGCAGAATAAGAGGGGATAATTAAGTGATAGAAATATTTGTGTTTCTTAGTCTGTAACCAGAGAGCTAGGTGCTGAAGATCAGAAGATCCTCCTTAGTACCTAAGAGCTTGGAGTTTCAAATTCATCACAGCATTTTCTTTTTCTTTGACTTAAATTTCCAAGGCATTGGTGCTTTGAAGTGCATGCCAGATCCATTTGAATAAATTTGTGACATCTTGACATTCTCTGCTTCCGGTAACAGTGTCTAGTCAGTGGAGACTGAGAAATGTACATTACATGACATGATGCTCAAACAGCTACATATAATGGTTATTTTTTATTCCTGAATACCTTGGACATTCTCCTTAACTACAGAGGCAACCAGAGCAAGTTGACTAGAATTGTTGTTGTTTAATACAGTTTCTTAAATTTCTGTTTTCTCCCAAGGAGTTTATAATTAAAATTGTTGAAGCCTTACATTCTGATATTTGCTGGGGGATCACTTTTTAGATGTTTTGCAGAAATATTTGTTCTCCTCACTATATATGGGTATATCTATAATTTGTCACAAATAGTTTTACATTTTATGGATTCTGAGTCAATTTCCAGGCTTTCGAGTGTTCAGACAGTGCCATAGCACAGCGGATTGTAGCTGGATGAGTCGCTGAGGGTTTCTTCCAGAGATAGGACATATTGTAGGATAGTTTGGATAGTGAAAGATTGACTTCATAGTTACTCATTTCCTTGAAAAAATGCTCTGACTTTGATAATTTCCATGGATGAAAGAGGGGGGAAAATCTTACTTTGTACTGATAAGGGGAGCTATGATGGGCACATGAGAATAAAGAAGGCAAATTTGAAGTTGAGTTGAGATAAGGTGTGTGACTTTCATTGTGGCAAAGGCAGGTCAGCTTGGGAGAGAGGAGGACAACATTTGGATTCTGTTTTCTTTTTTTTCCTTGAGGATGATTAGAACTGAGCTAACATCTGAGTCAATCTTCCTATATTTTGTACGTGGGTCACCGCCGCAGCATGGCTGGTGAGTGATGTCTGTGCCTGGGATCCAAACCTGTGAACCTAGACCACTGAAGCAGAGTGTGCCAAACTTTAACCATCATGCCACAGAGCCAGCCCCAGAATTCTGTTTTTTAATGTAAATCTTCAGCTCCAAAACTGACATCCCAAAGGAGAATGTATTAAAATATAGGATCTGCAAAGAATGTGGCTAAGAATCTATATTAAACTCCAAGATCAGGGGCACTATTTATTCCCACTATACAACTTTCTTGGGTTTTTTTCTGGCCAGGCCAGACCTTATTTCTGCTACAACAAATGTGGTCCAAGCAATATAACCGAATCTCTGCATCCCTGACTCAGACCTAGCCCTTTCTTTTTAGAGAGTTAAAACAGGTATTGCTAAAGATAAGAGTGGAAAGTTAGTTCTCTTTGTCACTGTAGCTTGATTTTTCGTTGTATAGACCCATCTTAAGCAATACAAAATTTGGTAGTGAAAAAAATCACTGTGTTCTGCATTAGAAGACCTAGACTCTTCTTGTGATCTACTACTAATCAATTTTCTGTGTTTCCTTGGACTTGTCCTGTCTAGGCCTTAGTGTCTTCATCTTTAAAGAGGATGTATGTTTATAAAATGCAAGGTACTGGAGAAGTTTGAGTGCCCAAAAATTCTAGGGTCTTGTCCAATGGACCCTCGAGCTCATTAATATCTGACTCTACATTTCATAACTTAGCAAAGAACTGCCATAGATTTCATATTGTCACAGGTTGTGGCCACTCGTCCAAACTCTGTCATTGATAATTCCCAGAAGTAAAGTAAGTGTAAAGAGAAGCACTAAGTGCTAAAGAGCTGGAGACAGGCATCCTAGATTTAAATAATTAGGCTCCTTTATTTTTTTATCATTATGATTTTGGGCAAGTCATTTACCTTCTCAAACACAGTTTCCTTTTTTTTTTTTACAAATATAGTCAATAGCATACCAACTTTATAGCATTTTTATGAGGATTAAAGGAAATAATGCATGTGAAATACTTAATATTGTACCTAATATATGGCAAACACTCAAAAATAGGTTATTTCTATAGGAACTACATTGTAGAAAAAGAAATCTCTGCTTGCTGTTAACAATGGGAAAAAGCAGAATTATAATAAAAGTTTGCATTTCAAAATGTTTGAGTATATGGAATTTTAAAAAGTAACCAAGTTTTCACGGCTTAGAAGTTTGCTTGAGTCCTGCCTCTCAATTGCAGTTTGAGCAAGGATGCAATTATTGTTTTATGGAAGGTCAAGGTCATCCTGCTAGATCAACACTTTTCTCCATTTCTCATTTTTCAAAAAGCATGAGTGTTAGAGAATTTCAGCAGTAACACTTACACTGTTGGTCTTTAGACTGGGTCAGAAAAAGAAATTGATCCTGTGCTTGAGTCCAATATCATCTTTATTCTATTAACCAAAGCTTAATGATCTCTGATTTTAACTTGTATCATTGATACTGATAGTCAATAAATCAAGGCTAAATGATGAACCAGATCAGTTTAATGCAAAATGTATTTCCATTTACTTGATGAAGAATACACATATGACTCAAACTTTAAGATGGTATTTAAAACTAAGTTTTGCCATTATTATTTCTCACTTTTTTTCTGGACCTGAGTTTCCTTTATTCTCTTTATCTTAATGTATTCTTAAAGCAAAAAGGCAATGAAGGGTTAAGTTGAGTTGTCCCTGTTACACGTGGGCAAGGCACATAATGAGGTACATGGAAAGAAAACATCTTCTAGATGATCCCACAAATGCATCATTGAGCAGGTAGCTTTATAGTTCCAAGCCCCAAGATACTGGTCTCCCTTCTACTTAGCCTGATGCATCATAGAATTCTTCCAGGGACAAGAACCCTTGAGAAGAAAGTTGAGGGCACTTCTAATTGCCATCACTTACCTAGAGGAGATCGCCCTTGGGAAAACCAACACCAAATGTGTTTTTATAATTCTGTGATGGTCTATGACAGAGGTTGTATTTCAAGGTAGAAATCAGAGAAAAATCCCACACTTGACTCATTCATCTTCATTATTTCACTAATTACCTCAGTTTCTTGCAAATCTTGAAGTAATTAGAATATACTTAAAAATAGTTCTCAGGGTCAGCCCATTGGTGAAATGGTTAACTTCATACATTCTGCCTCTGCAGCCCAGGGTTCGCTGGTTCAGATGCTGGGTGCAGATCTACACACTGCTTGTCAAGCTATGCTGTGGCAGGCATCCCACATATAAAGCAGAGGAAGATGGGCACGAATGTTAGCTCAGGGCCAGTCCTTCTCAGCAAAAACAGGAGGATTGGCATCAGATGTTAGCTCAGGTATAATATTCCTCAAAAGTAAATACATAAAATTTAGAAAATAAATTTAAAAAGAAACAGTTCTCTTTTACAGTTTTGATCCGCCTGTTTTTCTCCCACACCACACAGAAACAAACATACAAACCAAGCAAATTGGTCTTCTGCCCAAACTGATGTCTCCAACACTTCTAGACAAATGTTTTAACATAGGTGAAATGAAACCTATATCAAATTTTATGAGAAATTTTTGAACTTGAATTTTATACTTAAAAGATATATATAAAACCTGTAATCTTTTAATACTAATTCTTTAACAATCATTCACTAGATCTTTACCTATAGTATGTTTACTTAGTTATAATTATGATATACAGACTACCTTGTGGGGTTTTTATTCATGTCATTTCATATTTTTTTCTGTCTTGTTAGTCTCCCAAATTATCACTTCTAATGACTACATTATTCCATCATATTGATGTCCAAATGAAGTTTTGTAAAGACTACTCTGACTCAGGGAAATGGAGTTCATTTATTCTGGGTTTTCTATGTCTTATAAGAATATTTTTGAGGAAGAATAATAAAAGACTAAGAGAGCCAACTAACAGAAGTTTTGAGGTACCTATTCCTAGGGAGTTTTGGGAAGATAAGCAATCATCTGTGAGATTCTCAGAGTACTGTTAAAAGGCAGAGTTTTGGACTATTTCATTCTTTCATAATTCTTCTTCCCTTTCTTTCTTTCACTCTCTTTTTTTAGGGTAGAGCATTCCTTCCAGGAGTTTTTATCACCCATACCACAGAGATGGAGAGTAAAAGAAATGTGACTGAGTTCATTTTGATAGGTCTTACACAGAACGCCAAAATGCAGAAACTTGTGTTTGTGGTATTTTTGTTTCTATATCTGGTGACACTGTCAGGCAACCTACTCATTGTGGTTACCATTACCACCAGTCATGCTCTGAACTCCCCCATGTACATCTTCGTGACCCACCTTTCTTTGATAGATGCAATATATTCTTCTTCTTCAGCTCCTAAGTTGATTGTGGACTCCCTTCACAAGAAGAAAATTATCTCCTTTAATGGATGTATGGCTCAAGTCTATCCAGAACATATTTTTGGTGCTACTGAGATCATCCTGCTGATGGTGATGGCCTATGACCACTATGTGGCCATCTGCAAACCTCTGCATTATATGATTGTCATGTGTCTCAGGCTGTGTATTCTCCTGCTGAAAGTGGCCTGGGCTGGAGGATTTCTTCATGCAACCATTCATATCCTCTTTATAGTCTGGCTGCCCTTCTGTGGCCCCAATGTCATAGATCATTTCATGTGTGACTTGTACCCTTTGTTGAAACTTGTCTGCATGGACACTCATACCCTTGGTCTCTTTGTTGCTGCCAACAGTGGGTTCATCTGCATGTTAAACTTCTTTCTCTTGGTGGTCTCCTATGTGGTCATCTTGTGCTCTCTAAAGAACTATAGCTTGGAGGGGAGGCACAAAGCCCTCTCCACCTGTATCTCTCACATCATAGTAGTAGTCTTATGTTTTGTGCCCTGCATGTTTGTGTATCTGCACCCAGTGATCACTCTGCCCATTGATAAAGCTGTGGCTGTCTTTTATACTATAGTGGCTCCTATCTTAAATCCTTTAATCTACACTCTCAGAAATGCAGAGGTGAAAAATGCTATGAGGAAGCTCTGGTGGAAAAAAGTGACTTGAGATAGTGATTAAGCAGAGTCATTGAGTGTTATAGATGGAACTAATAGAGGTAATTTAATCCAAGCCTCTTGATCTGTAGATGAAGACATCAACTCTAACAAGAGATTGGATAATGCATACAGATAGTCACTTCATCACAGAGCTAAATCTTGGACTGGAATCCAGGCTTACTGTCTCCCATCCTACACTTTTGTCATCCAACTTGCTGTTTCTTAACCAATAAATATTTATCTATTACCTGGAAATCTGAACTATCTTTATAAGCTAAAAGGTGTGAACCTAGAATATTGGATTGGTATTAAAATAATCTTAATATGTAACATTGAGATGTCGATTATGACTGATAAATGAAAACAAGATGTTTAACAATATTCCTGTACTTTGAACTGTAACCTCAATACAATATAAATTCTTTCTTTACATGAATTTTTTGTTCATTAAATCTTGGTTGTATAGTAAAAAGAGATACTGTTTGTCAAATGCCTATAAGGCTGACATTGCATCAGGCATTTTCTATATTGTGTCAGTCAGGGTCCAGTCAGGAGACAGACCACCTAGTAATTGGAATAGGGTAAGTTTACATACAGTTATTAATTATATCAAGGCATCAACTACAAAGGCGTGATGAGTACTCTAAAGAATGCCCTGAGAAATGCAAATCAAAACTACACCAAGATATCACCTTACACCTGTTAGAATGACAAAAATATCTGAAACTAATAGTAACAAATGTTGGAGAGGTTGTGGAGAAAAAGGAACCCTCATACACTGCTGGTGGGAATGCAAACTGGTGCAGCCACTATGGAAAACAGTATGGAGATTCCTCAAAAAATTAAAAATAGAACTACCATATGACCCAGCTATCCCACTACTGGGTATCTATCCAAATAACCTGAAATCAGCAATTCCAAAAGTCCCATACACCCTAATGTTCATTGCAGCATTATCTACAATAGCCAAGGCATGGAAGCAACCTAAGTGCCCATCAACAGATGATTGGATAAAGAAGATGTGGTATATGTATACAATGGAATACTACTCAGCCATAAAAAAGAACAAAATTGTCCCATTTGCAGCAACATGGATGGACCTTGAGGGAATTATGTTAAGTGAAATAAGCCAGATAGAGAAGGACAATCTCTGTATGACTCCACTCATATTAGGAATTTAAAAGTGAAGACAAAGAGAACAGATTAGTGGTGACCAGGGGAAAGGTGGGGTGGGGGGTGGGCACAAAGGGTGAAGGGGTGCACCTACAACACGACTGACAAATAATAATGTACAACTTAAATTTCACAAGATTTTAACTTATCAGTAACTCAATAAAAATTAAAAAGTCAAAAAAATAAATAAAAAGAATGCCCTGAGACTGAGAAATGGATATCCAAGGAAGGATCCCATTTAGAAGGTGGTACTCCTCCCCAAGGCTGGGATTCCAATCTTTTGGAGAAGGTCTACTTGTTACCCATTGAATAGTAGAGAATTTCATTGGGGTATCATGGGCCAGAACTAGTTCCTGGTAGCTGGACAGAAGCTGGCAGGCATGAAAGGGACTGGCCAGCTGCGAGCATCCTGCTGTCATGCTGCTGGGCCAAGCTGATGATAAAGGAACTGTGGTTTGGACAGGCAAGCAGGAAACCAACCTCTAGGGTGCAGGTGGACCAAGGCTTGCAGGGAAAACTCTAGTACAGTACAGCTCAGCTGTGTTGGGAACCTGATCTCTGGGGTGTCTGTAGATTCACTGGAATCTGACTGCAGAGGTGCTACTGAAACTCAATGGGAAACTGTCCAGAAGGTATTATTGTCAGTGCCACTGGATGTCTCTCCTGTTCCCTGTCCCCTCAAAAAAAGGAAACACATGCTTTTAGAAGCTACATCATGAGCAAGATGAAAAGAGAAGCAAATTCAAAAAATCATTTGTAAGACTACTGTAAATAAGTTTTTAAAAAAATGTTTTCTTCTAGTTGTTTTTTGGTTTCAGGTCTTACATTTAAGTCTTTAATCTATTTTTGAATTGATGTTTGTATGTGGTGTAAGATAAGAGTCCAATTTCATTCTCTGTATGTCAATATCCAGTTTCCACAATATCATTTATTGAAAAGACTATTCATTTCTCATTAAGTAGTCCTAGCATCCTTGTCAAATATTAATTCACTGTATTTATTTCTGGGTTCTCAGTTCTGTTTCACTGATCTAGGTGTCTGTTTTTATGCCAGTACCATACTGTTTTGATTACTATAGCTTTGAAACATAGTTTGAAATCAGGAAATGGAAGTGTGATGCCTTCAGCTTTGTTCTCCTTTCTCAGGATTGGTTTGGTTAGTCAGTTCTTTCATGATTTCACACATATTTTAGGATTATTTCTTCCATTTCTCTGAAAAATGTCATTGGAATTTTGATAAGGATTTCATTGAATCTATGGATAGCTTTGGGTAGTCTGGGCATTTTAACAATATTAATTCTTCCAATCCATGAACATGGGGTATCTTTCCATTTATTTGTGTCTTTTTCAATTTCTTTAATCAATGTCTTATAGATTTCAGTGTAGAAATCTTTCACTTCCTTGGTTAAATTTATTCCTAAATATTTAATTCTTTTTTGATGCTATTGTAAATGGGATTATTTTCTTTATTTCTCTTTCATACAGTTTATTGTTGGTGTGAAGAAATACAAGTAATTTTTATTTGTTGATTTTTGTATCCTCTATCTTTACTGAATTTGTTTATTAGTTCTAACATTTTTCTTAGTAGAGTTTTTAGGGTGTTCTACATATATGGTTACGTTATCTGAAAGTAGCTAATTTTAGCTCTTTCTTTCCAATTTAGATACCTTTATTTCTTGTTCTTGTCTCTTCTTGCTAGTACTTCTAGTTCTATGTTGAATAGAAGTAGTGAGAGTGGGCTTCCTCATCTTGTATCCCATCTTAGAGGAAAAGCTGTCTATTTTTCCCAATTGATTATCATGTTATCTGTGGGCTTTTCATAATGGTCTTTATTGTGTTGGGGAATTTCCTTTTTTTGTGAGGAAGATTCACCCTGAGTTAACATACATTGCCAATCCTTCTCCTTTATTTTGTTTAAGGAAGATTGCCCCTGAGCTAACATCTGTGCCAATATCCTTCTACTTGTTATGTGTGATGTCTGCACAGCATGGCTGATGAATGCAGTTGGTTCACACCCAGGATCTGAACCTGAGATTTGAACCCATGAACACTCAACCACCGAAGTGGAGAGTGCAGAACTTTAACCATGTAGCCATGGGCCCAGCCCCAGAAATTTCCTTTGAAATCTATTTTGCTGAAAGTTTTTAGCATGAAATGGTGTGGGACTTCATCAAATGTTTTTTCTATGTCTACTAAGATGATCATGTGATTTTTATCTTTCATTCTGTTAAAGTAGTATATCACATTGATTTGCATATTTTAACCAATCTTGTATCCCAGAGATTAATCCCAGTTGGCTTTGGTGTATAACCTTTTGGATGTGTTGAATTCAGATTGCTAGTATTTTATTAAGATATATTTCCTATTCATAATGTTCAACCAATAAAATTTCTGAGTCCTTGCATGTCTGAAAATATATTTTATTCTCATATTTGAATTCTATATTGCACGATATAGAATTAAAAATTACAATTGTTTTCCCTTGAAAGAATTAAAAACATTTTTCCATTAACTCCAAGTTTCCGTTTTGGGGACAAAAAGTCTGATGCCAGGCTGATTTTTATTTCCTTCGTAGCCTATTTTTATTTTATAGATTTACTATCCTACTGAATCCCTAAAAATATACAAATTGATGTTTAGAGTTCTGTTTTGGGATCTTTTTTGTTTTTTTTTACTAAAAACATCAAAATGGTTATGGATCTTTTGAGAGATCACTGATGAGTACTCATGGTTGACAAAACTCACACTGTCCCTTGGTGATGTCTAATAATTTTATGTCTGTAATTCCCATCTATATGCTCAAGGCTTCTACATTTCTCTGACCTACATCTTTCTCAGGATCAGAAAAGTATATTCAATTGTATATAGCTACTTGAATCTCATTCAGCACATTAAAAAATACATTTATCAAGTGATGTCAGCAACATGGCAGAGTGAGTGGTTCCCTTTGTCTCTCCCCCTTTGAACTACAATTAAAGGGACTTTCATTGATCAACAAAGGATACTCACACAGCACCTCAGGATGCCTGAGAGACGGGTGCTGCTATAAATTGAAAGGAGGATGAACTACTTGCAGAGAGGAGGGGCTATAGGTGAGAACTATCCAGCCTCCAATCAGTCAAGTACCTGCGAGCAAGTGCTTTCCCAGCTGAAGCACTCACCCTAGCACCCCATGGCCGTGAGGGTGGATATCTGCCTCAGCACAACTATGGAAACAGGTGACTGCAGCCCTGAGCCCCTGTACTTCCTCTTTGGTCCAGTGGGAAAATCCACAGTCCCACTGCAGACCAAGGGCCTGATTGGCCCTAGTGGAGGGGCCCAACCCACTAAGCACAAAGGCTGATGTGACTTAGGAGCAGATACAACATGGCTGTGAGTCTGGGTGAACAAACCCCTGGCTGCCTTAAATACCCATAGATCTGCTGCAGCCCAAAAGGGGTAAGTGAGACCCAGTGGGGCCATAGGAGCAGGGGGTGACAACACTGAGCCCCAATGTGATTTCTCCTTGGTCCAGTGGGAAAATCCATGGTCCCACCACTGACTAAGACAGTGACTCAGCTCAGCCCTAGTGGAGAGGCCTGCCCACCAAGCACAAAGGCTGTTGTGACATAGGAGCAGAGTCTAGGAAAACAAACCCCCAGCTGCATTAAACAGCATACCTCTGCTGTGGCCCTGAAAGGGCAAGTGAGACACAACAGGGTCATGGGAGTGCATGGTGGCAACCTTGAGCCATAGCATATAGCTGCCAGGTTCAATGGGAAAGTCCAAACTCTTGCTGCAGCCCCAGGGAGTGTCTTTGACTTTGTTCCATTTGGGAGGCCCCGCCCACAAAGCTCAA